GGGGGGGGGTGGAGGGAGGGATTTTACGGCCCCGAAATTCATCAAGTTCAAGGTGTTATGCCTACGGTGGAAGTGTAATGCCAAGTAGGGTCTATTATCTTATGCATGGCCCATGGATCGAGTCCTAGACGGATACTCGTACAGGACCAGCAAGCCCATCTACCTCCGGCACGGCTTAACTGATAACAGACTAAACTCCGATAGAATAGAAGCTCTGAATTATACACGGCAGACCAGCATATGAGGCAAGTACGCATTCAAACTTCACCACAATTCTGAATATGAGTATAATGCGAGGGGAGGTATCCTGAAGCTGGGTTGATTATGGACAAAAGGCTCTATCTTCAACGGGCATCCATAGAAATTCCAGTGATGAATTGTATTTATGGTAAGTAACCTTTTTCTTCACAAATGACTGTCAAAGGATTTTTGGGTGAAATAAGGACTTGAGTCAGATTCAGCAATTCAAGGGGCAAATCTTTACGGCTGTAAATAGCAAGACTTTATCGTCGGAAGCCTGCAGGTGAAAGAAAAGGTCACTTCAAATAACCGCAAGAGAATGAACTAGGACAAGAAAATTTCTTCTTACGTTTGACTCCCTCTAGGGATCTTATCAGCAGTGCACAAATGACCCTCACTTCTGACGTTTCCTGATAATCTGTTGTTGCTTGACTCTTCCGAAGCTGTTTGCCTGAAGCAGGCCTCCTCTTTGACTTTCAAGATTATGGACTGTTAAAGAAAGTATATGAGTTTTCTGGTCAGCTCTATTAAATGCATGTTAGGCGAAATAGTTCAGATTGACTCACATGACGGTGATTATCGCTTATTACGGTATTTGCCGGGTACTCATACTACAACTCGAGAGATGCTACAAATTTTGGGAAACTCTCAACTCTACAGTTATGAACGTACCTGGCAGTGCTAGACGTTTGACTGAGGCGATTCTCAATGAAACCCGAGTCGCGAGAGGAACTCGAAGGCTCCAAGTTGTGGACCACAGAAGACCTGAAAAAATCTGTGTTAGGAGAAACCTACAGTTATATATGTGAAAACTGAGTGGGTTCCAAGGCTCAAAGAGAAAAAGCAACGGACCAGACATTCGTCTTAGTCCATTCAGTGCTTCCTACACCTACAATTCGAGTTTATCAAAAGGTGAGACACTGGAAATCAGGAGAAAGGGTGGCAATCCCCTTAGCATTGCTCAGTTGACAATAACATCCACTTCCGCTATCATCTGAATTCAGTCCTCACATGTCGCATCAAGGATCACGGTTTCAATAGCCCCATGTTTGATATTATTTCTCGAGAAAGAAGAGTTCAAGTGACGTCGGGAAATAAGAAGTGAGACTCTCATCCTGGGGTCCTCCCCAGCTGATACGCTGCCTCAATTAGTTGTAAGACAAGATATTACTGTCCTTCTAGTGAGAGTTTTCCTTCTTTATTCTTTTGTCATGGGGGAAATTCTATAGTGAAGCTTTATTATTCTTTCGCTTTCTTTCTTTTATTATTTTTCTTTTTGCTTCATTCCCAATAATATGACAATAAAGTCTTTACGTCACAATTTTGTAATCTAAAACAAAATTTCCTGTTCATTACTTATATGGCAGCCTTACAATTAGGGGCTTACCTACGAAGATGCATTCTCTTCCTTAGTCTCTGAAAGTTGCCTTTGTCAGACATTACCAGCTGCCGCCCTCATGTTCATCACCTCATGGAATCTTTTTTTTATCACCAAAATACCTAGGCAGCTTGAGGATANAAGGGATCGCGGTAGGCGTTCCTGTCGTAGATTTTGGGAGTTTTGGGACGATCAGGCGAGTATGCCAACGGTTCATTCTGAACGCTCTGGAAAATCGAAACTTTCGTAAGCACCACCCTTTGTTCTCATATTTTTTCAAACCTATCTTTCACCTCGTTCACATCATCCGGAATGTCCGCGAGAAATCGTATATACGTTCTGGGAAAAATTCCAATTTCACCGAGATGATTCGTGCCTTCCAACCAGTTCTCGTCGATCTCTCTTCGTAAAGTAACCAATTCACCCTAAATCAAAACATGAATAATAACCTTTATAAGGAAAAATACTGATACTAAAAAGTCGATAAATACTTTAGACTACCCTTTCTAACGATAGGTTATTTGGAACCTCACTTGTGGAATACATAACAAAACCAACGAATTTTTGTGTAATTTCTTAGATGTTCTAATAGGATCACTTCCTCATTATTTCATTCTGGTGTTGAAATTCTATCACAAATGTTCTGAGTGGATTTGGTTCCAGACGGAAATCGAACATGAACGTGTGGCACCCGGGCTCATCGATTCACACCAATATTGGCCATCCTATCACGTGTTAATGCTCAAGTTATGGCGAATGTACAATCAAGAAGCTATGAGGAGGCATGTTGATTCTCGGTTGTGCAATGAATACGAGCACTCGTCATACTGGTACGAGTTTGAGTTCAAGCTCAGTACAAGACCACTGTTATGCCCATAGTTCTATCCCATGCCTTAACAGGGACCAAGCCTAATCATTTATTGCTCCATCGTAGCTCATAAAAGTTTTCATACTGTTTCTAGCAAGAAGAGATCAAGTAGGCGAATTGCCCAAAAGGAAAGCCAATCAGCTTCCCAGATTTTAAAAAAGATTTCAAACGGATTAATGTATTGAGATCGATGAAAAATTTTGAAATTTTTCCAATGAAGATTTTGTTCTAAAATAAACAGCAACGTTTATTCAAAACTGTCCCACATTGTACAATTCGTTAGGCGCGTCTTCGGTTTGTGAGTGTGTTTGTTTGATTGTTTGGGTCGGTTTGAACGAAAATTCATGAACTCTGCTCCTCTGGACCCAGACAATCCAAGTGCAGAGGGATACAGACGGCACTGATCTTAGGTGGTGAGCAGTGATATCAGTCAACATGAACTGAACATGGGCCTCAGAGAGCAGGAGCCATATAAGCGTTGCACCCTTCGTATGTGCATTCTGGCGCATGCGTAGGTGATGTGGGGTATAAATTGTGGTGACGTACTGATAGAGGCTGACAACGGGTGGAAGAAGTGGAAAGCAAGAGCCATTAAGTCGGTGGAATTTTGGCACAATGAGTATTGATGTAGAATCACGGATTGTGGATGGTTGGTGATAATGACTAATAGCAGCTGGTTAGCACTGATAAATGCCAGCGGAGCATTCCCTCCTTCCATATGGTGGCGGAGCACTGCTACTTCAGTGTGTGAACAGGGTACAGTGTTTCGATACAACGGATTATAAGGAGTGATGATAATGAAGGCTGATAAGGGATCATAGGCTTCTCATTTTATCCCCTTCAGTTCATACGATATANATAGCCTTGATTTTGCAACATGTTTCATAAGACAGGACGGAGTGAAAAAGCACTTTGACAAAAATGGAACGGCATCCTATAAAGACCAACAAAATCGGAACCATATGTGAATAGAGGACTAAGTATATTTCATTCCTTGCTGTTAGATTACGACATCTTTTCCCCAATATTAACGACGTGGTAGGACCACGTATTCTCTTCATTCCGATGTCAGTTAGCACGAAACCTACCCGGAGAATGACCAGTCAATGATTTATGCACATGAAGATGAAAATGTCATAGATAGGTCCCTCTGCCAATGTTCTTATCATCATTCGCCAACATTAAAAAGTGTCAGCCAAGACTGCGGTTGACTAACCAGAGCGGTGCGCCAGTAGGAGCACGAATGAAATGATTAAACTATAATACTAATGAATGGTTATAGTTAAGATTAAGGACAACAGGAGGAGATCATTTAGTAGAAGAAAGAGGGATGTCCGCGTAGGCCTGACGATCCGTCTGCTTAAGAGTAATTCGCTTATTTAGAAAGTGAAGAGCGGTCGGCGTAGTTGGCCATGCTTCCCACGCACGTGGAAAAACTCAAAGACAAAGGTTGATGCCCATCAAATTCTTCCTTGAATGGGAATTTCACAAACAAATACCACATGAATCAGAAAATACACTGTCTAGAAAAAAACTTGTCGATGACAAACACTGGTTATTTTGGAAAGGGTAGTGGCGCTCATTATCACATGCGTGGTCGAGAAAGCGAATCCCAGATGGTACCACCCTACAAATGTGCCTTTCATACCTTAAGGTCAGCTAATTCGTATCAAACCCGACAGATAAAATAGGAGCACTGACTTTCATGTCGGTTAATCCATGCGAACCATGGCATAGGCCAAACACCCATTCAAACGCCGCTGCGATTCTGAAAGGAATTCGAATGTGGAGGCGCATCCCTCCAATAGGATCGACCAATGTCAAATGACACTAGACTTCGTAACTATGTCGATGACACACAGTGAATCATGTGGATCAGTGAGTGGGAGTCCAGGTGTAAAACATCAATTTATCATGCAGTCGTCACTTAATTTATGGAATTCCCCTTAACGAATAAACAACTGCCTTGACTTTCAATATGCAAACGGATTTTTCTTTTCGGAATGCCTTTTGATGCACAAAGTTAGAACAAAGTGGAACAGGCCAAATATACACTTATAGCGGTAGAAGACATGCAATCGTAAGAACCGTAAGAATTACATAGTTGTTGAGAATCACCATCAGATTAGTCTAATTGCTTTAATTAACAGTGATCATTAATAGAACCAAAATCTCCTGATTTTCCCTCTCCAAACGCTGTACTATAACAAATATGTAAATTTTTTCGTTTGTCTGCTTTCCTCTTAAAGTAAAGGAGAGATGTGGAGACCATGGTGATTGCCCGTCTAACTCTCCCAAAGGTCGGCTAGCGCCTGGGTGCGAAACAACCCAAATGATGTTGTGTACGCACTGATATTTCCCTCTCCCTCCTCCNTTTTCCCCCCCCCCCCCCCCCCCCCCCCCCCCCCACTCCCACTCCCTGTCTAAATTCGAAGCCTCGAAATTTTTTTCATGGACAATAATCTTCAGAAGTTCAGAGGTTTAGTAATTTAGCCTTGAAAAATAAAAATATTCAAATTTGAAAAAAGTCGCATGCCCAGTTGATCTATGAGTGGGAAAAGAGAAAAGTAAGTACTTTCTGTGACAAATCTGTAAACTTGCCATCTTGAGTGAAAGTTCAGTAGCTCGTCGTGCTGTGAACGGATAAATAGCTTTCGCTTTGCACCGTGATCGATCGAACTCATCATCCAGCTCAAACACACGAATTTTTCCGATACGATCCGGATATTCACACTCGAAATGATGAATCTCGTTCCCACCTGTACATAACTCCGAGGAAACAAGCCACTTTGACCGTTACGTTCACCTTCCAACCAGTTCGCATCCACGTCTCTTCGTATACGAACCACGTCACCGCGATTCAGCGACAACTCTCTAAAAAGATTTTGAATCATTGACGTTCTGAAGGAGAGCTCCTTCAATTCCGATTCGAAATCATCAAAATGATTATTGTCTCGAACGAAAGTTCAATTTATCTGTATACAAAGCCACTTACTTTGGTGATTTGGCGTCAAATTTAAAGAGCACTGTGGCTGTACGCACAGCCATGGGATGCATAGGTGAAGGACTTGTACGGCGGCTATACTCCTCCAACAATCCTCCAAAGCGATCCTTGTTACCCACTAATGACGGTGACGCTGTTGGTCTAGAAGATGGTGAATAATAGACAAAATCATTTGCATGTTGTCAGGTAAGACAACGATAGAATTTAGTGCCTGATGATCCTAAAAAACAACACTTAGAACTTGATAATTACAATCGCAAGAATTGAAGTTTTGACGGCGGATAAACTTCAAGCACATTTTCGAAGAATATGGCATTAAAGAGCAGAGGTGGTGTTGTGGCAAACGGTGCACTATGACACGCACTTGGCCGGAGCCGGTTCTCAGATCGACATCTGCTCAGAACAACCATCCTTCTCATGACTCCGAGGTCGGGTAATTGGTACCAAACTCGACCGGTAGGAAAAACATTGGCTTGAACATCAGCTGGCCACCCAAAGTCATTGATCAACCAAAATGCATTCAATACGCCACGACGATTCTAAATGGGAGTCCAATGCGTGGGCGCATCCCTCAGACGGGATTGATTAACGCCGGAGCCCCAGTCTTTATCCTAAAGGGAATAAAAATTTTGGAAAGCATTAGCGTTCGGTTATTATCTTCTAATTGAAGTGTGCAACCCATGGAGTGAGCACTCATGGGTTGATAATCTCGATCGCTCTCTTCTTATACTTTTCCACGATAATACTGGCAAAAGGGCTTAGTTAAAGGTTTTTTCCGTCTCATCCAGTTGCAGATATAAATAGTCACGTGAATCATTGTAACATATGGGGAAAATCGCCCGTGTAGGAGATTACTCGAACATTTCCAAAGACACACCATGAAGACAAAAATGTATCTTTGGACTGATTCGAAAACTGATTTTGTTTCTATCTGATCCTTGGCTTTGTAATTCTGAAGACATTCAAAATGGGCGAACTCCCAGAAAATCCGATTATTGTTCACCAGCAACATTGGCAATTGCTAACAGAAAGAAAGGCAGAACGTTGGCTGGTTCTGGGCGCAGAAGTAATTGTCTGCTACTCAAGGAGACCAGACCCAAGCAAAGGAAAGTCACTTCACACTCAGGAGATAGAAAGAATCTACTGTAATCTATAGCGAATTAAACTGGGATTCGTTGGTTATAATGACGCGATCCACCGTGTGAGTCATACTCGACGCTCGTCGGTGATTAAGTGATGAAAAGATAGTGGGTGGTCCATTTCATTTTGTGCAGGCAAATTGATTAAATGGGGCCAATCGGGACATGTGAAGGACGTATGATAGCGTTTCTTTCAATTTTTTTTTGGTGTTAAACAATCCCACTTTGAGATGCGCCAAGCATTCGAACTCGATTTGGAATCGTCACGGCAACTTGAATGCATATGTGGTACTAATTAGTGCTTTTACCCCTCCATATGACTCAGTTAACCAATACCGAAGTATGGTGGGCTCGGATGGTCTTGACGGGGATCGATCCAGGCCTCGAGTGCGATAGCGTGCGTTACTTGCCCATACGGCCCACTCGACGCCTCCGCTCTTAACAGTATCTACATTGAAGAATTTAAAGCACGAGCGTATTCATAAAAACCATGAATCGAATACATTTTGGAAAAAAACTCTTCTAATAGGATAAAATGCAAATTCTGCCGCAGCTACGTGAAAAAGCTGCAAATAGAAGGCGAAAGGTAAAAGATCAAGTATAAGCCCATACTCTGATCAGGACTCCATCTAAAATCCCTGAACGATGTTCAGAAATAACTAACATATAGCCATGACGGCGATTCCGTTGTTCCTGAAGTTCTTCAGCCAGCCGTTCAGCTTTCTGACGATAGAGTAGCTCTTCTTTTGAGATGCGTTTCAGTTCAGCGATATCCTCTGCCGTCGTGGAAGTTGAGCCGCCTTCGCCTGAGCATACTGATAGAAAGATGTTCGTTGTTAGTAAAAGAGAACTAGATTTTGTCAAAAGAGAAGACTGCTAGTGAAAACACAATGTTAGAAACAGTGAAGTGTTAAAAAGATGTTAGTCGAACCACAAACAGAGAGCTGGGGTGTGCTGCTGGATCGATTCCAGAACTGTTCGAGTCGTTGGATGAACTGGGACAATTCTTGTGCAGTGTCGTCCAAATTTTCAGTGATACATCGAAGGGCTGCAAACGTTAGAGACAAAAAAGCAAATTCAATAAAGTGGCATGAGACGTGTTAGAGCAGACTAGGCAGAGCTATACTCGGAAAAGGACTTCATGGACATTAGCTCTCTGGAAAAGAATCTAGAACGTCGATCTTATCTACAATCGTTCGGAAGAACCATTTAGGTGTTTACTGGGTCATGAGTCGCACCTACATCCTAGAGCGGAAATTCTTTCAGGACATCATAAATGCAAAACGGTACCATAAACATTCAACTAAACCAGGACGAAATCGAGAGCGCACGACTGCCAAGAGGTTGACGTGACTGCCTATACCGCCCACAGATGGACGAGCTTCGAAAAGGGCGTCATCGGTGACCTCACCACTTGCCGAGATTTTGGATTCCCTGGTCCTTTTACTTTGCCTCATGGGATTATTTTCTGAGACGCTTGTTGCAGGGGAAGCCTGTGTTGCTCAGGTGAAGTCTAAGGAGCATTGACATTTCACATTGAGAATCTAGTTTCCGATGTTACACACGACGTCTTCAGAGATTTGCGAAAAAATGTAGCGCCTTCACGAGAGCGGCTTCGGGCACTTCATATAACTGCCATACCAAGCTTTGAGCGAATAGGTAGCTGAAAAATTGAGCCACCAGTCTTGCGTTTTTCCCTTGACCTGCCTAGTAGAAGGTGATGGTACGAATTTGGTATTGCCCACTTATCGAAAGGAAAGCCCGAAAGCCCACTTGATGCCCTTGTTTACTCATGTGTCGATTGTCCGGGGAATGCCCTAAAAGTCTATTACGCCTTTTATCGCGCTCACATTGTTTATACAAAATTTCAGCGCTTGAAATTTTTTTGTCGCAGAACTTTCTTGCCAGCCTAATACAAAAAGTACTACCTGCCTAGATCGAACTCACCAATTTTAGACTGAATGTGGCGTTGATTGTTGTAAGACCGGTCGTGTGAAGGAGCGAGAGAATTGACGATGGCTTCAATTTCTGTCCATGATGGATCCTTCCGACGGAGGCCACAACGCAGACAACGGACACCGCATCTGGACGTGCCCTGCAGTCCTGGCCGGCAATCAGAGACGATCGGTCGCGAATCCTCGTGAGCGAATTTGTACGATGGTAAGTGAAAATGCGTCGTACGAGATTTTTCCAAGGCAAAAAGATTTGCCGAGTTACGTCGACTGCTGGCTGAACCGTAAAGAAAGCTTGAATAAAGTCAAAGGCCTAGGAGACCTTTTTCAACAAGGTGCATGTTTTGAAGTGGTAGCCCACCCGAAGGAAACGAGCATAGATTTGACGTTTGATTTTCCTGGGGCTATATTTGAGTATGGGATGGATGGAAAAGGAGATTTAGGTGGTTTCTGTCCCAATACACAAAATTAACGTTAGCCACTGCCCAAGAAGAAGGGTCACCTTGCTTTGCATAAACTTTACGCAAAATGAGGCTATTTCAGTGGCCGAAAGGAGAAGTTGTAAGAACACATCGCCTTTTGAAAAAAAAATATGAAACCTATCTCATCTACTGGTATTCGGCATGAACCAGAGTATTCTATTCAAAACTTGTAAACATTTTTCCTCAGATATGGTGACGCAAAAGAGAAATCCATGACTGTGCCCTAAACGTAGGCAAAACAATTGGCTGTCGTTTGTTTTTCTTGAGCCAGCAGGGCTCCATTGACGCACATCCATTGCGAACATTTTCAGGAAATTGCCAAAATAGGGCCGAATCAGGGACCACATAAGACATTTATGTGTGAATCTGCATATTTATTATAAGTGCAAAGAAGAAACAATGACCCCCCCCCCTCCCACCTCCCTCACTCCCCCTCATGCAGTGGATCGATAATCATAGAGATAATCGCAGTGGGCAATAGCCTTGCAGAAAGCAATGGAAATTCTATTGGGAAAAACGGGCATAAATCGTCCCTTGGTTTCCGCAAATCGTTTGTCAACCAAAACACCCTCATGAATAAATCTCAACAAAAACGTCTTCGGCCGCCCTTCGATTTAAGCCCATCGGACGAATTCTGCTCGCTGAGCATAAAGACGGAATGGAATCGTACTCGTTCTCTCCAGAAATGACTTTTGAAAACAAAGAAGCTTGATGGATTGTGAAGAATTAAGAGGAAAAGGGTGTCGGTCAAAGCAACTCTACAATATTTCTCATGACTTCAACCCAGTATAGCTTTAGGAGCAGGAGAACATTGAAGTTTCCGCTCAGTTTCATTGGCGGTCAATGATAGTGGGAGCTCATGATTCAGCCTTTCCCAAAAGAGTCGCTCAGCATGAAAAAAATGACGCTAAAGGTCATGGGACATGGCTTATAGGGGAGGTGGAACGCTCAGTCGGCGACAATTGACGACGCTCGAAATAGAGACCGAGGAAAAGGAGGGAAAGCGGAGCTCACAGCATTGCATAAACAGTCAGCCACTCGAGCAAAAACTGGTATCGGGTTAGTTGCTTCCACTCAGGGGTTAGTGTGATGTGGTCAGTCAATTAGCTGGAACCAATGGAAAAAGCTGAACAGAACGCACCAAGCATTTCCGGCTCGATGATTCGTCCCACCGATTTCGCCCTCCTCGGTGTCACCTCGCATTCATGTCGAGAAGGTGAACGGGCGGTGAACGTCAACGGGGTCAGTGGACCTGAAAATTAGCGTTCATCCAACCTAACCAATATTCTTTTGAAAAGATCGAAACTGAAAAAGCATAGAAATGCTATTGAAAAAGTAAAGTGCCTCTGAATAGGCTGAGAAAAAANAAAAAAGACTAACGGCTTATCGTGGGCGCCGGTGATTCCTCGCGGAAGCGATGTCGCAAAATAGAACTTTCTGAAAAGTCAGTTTCAGTGATTATTCCTCAGAGCCTGCTGGCTCTTAGGCAGAATCGAATAATCTTCAAGTGAGACAGCGGTGGCTTGAGTCAGAATCTGACGAAATGGAGGCCTTTGTGGAATGGTTTCCAAGGAATTTCGGCTAACAACCCGCCACACCACCCTACTAATCAATTCCAACGCAGCGTATAATTGCTTTATCGGCCTCCTTCAAGAGAGGGAGGAAATTTCAGTTTGGAACGAGATCATGGGCCCCTGAAAGGGCAAAACCACTTGACGCTTGAAACATTCCACCCGCAGAAATAGAGCCATCGTCTGCAGAACATTTCAAAATCGATATTTCAGCACAACCGTGAACAGCTCGCTGTTTATTCATTCTGAGGGGAAAACAAACAAGTTGGCTACTTGAGCCTCTCATCACTTGGAGTATAACTGTGCTTAGGTTCTCACAAGAGTACAATTGCAAGACTCTGGACGGCGCTGCATCGTGAGCCCTTCAAAAGTAGGATAGTACGTATCGTGACCATTGCTGCTACCGGAACTAAAAGGGAGCAGAAGCTAGTAAAGCAAGTATTGGCGAAGGTGGCCGTTCGGAAAAATATTACCTCATCGGGATTCCTACGGAGCTGGAAGGAAAACATCGCGCGAAAGGATTTTCAATGAGAGAGCCGTGCGAGGTGAGTAAGTGTCCTCGCTTTCTCTACCATCCGCTTCCCTGCCGCTTCTCCTGGTTCCCATCTCGTGGCTCTGTTTGCTTATGCTGTCCCCGGTTGAGAAGCGCGCTACGCAACGGCGCGGCCAACACACACTCAGAGCATTCATTTATAATCACCCACAAAACGCCACATTAAAATAGTCCCCCACTCGATACGGTCTGGAAAGTATGTGGCCACAACAGTCATTTCATCCCTGGCCCATGGTCCCTTCAGTGAGAGCGGCTGAGTTGTTGCTGTTAGGGTATTGCAGAGAAGAAAAAGCCATCGGCGCTGGCAAAGTAAAGCAGAGCAAGTCAAGACGTGCGGAATATTCGGAGTTTAATAGGGGAAGGGATCAGCGAAAATGCCTGCTGATGATGTATCATGATTCCTCAAGCGTTGTAAGGAAAATCGAAAACTAACGATGAGGAAAGGAAACCCAATCAATCAAAAGTTGAGAGCGCTTTTGAAGCGCGCCTCCTAGGATCAACTAACCCCACCAAAGAACGATCACTTAAAAGTTATAGGTGCGTCTTAAAACTCACCAGCAGGAGATTCGATCTTGTGCATTTTCTTGAACATATTCCGATACCAGAGCGACATCTCCGGTGTGTGGGAGGAGGGACCGGCCAGGAATTTGTCGTACATTGTAGGCTCGGCGCTAGCTGCGATGGCTACCGAGGAGGCGGGCAGTTCCGACCCTTTCTGCTGACTTTCCTGACTCGCCATTCTTCCTCCTCCTGAACTCGTCTGTGCCACTGATGACGCCTGTTCGTGGGTCGAACGGGACCAATTCCCAACCGATTCCGGAACATTGTCGAATTTGCGATCGCTAAAGGACTGCTCGGCTCTGGGAGTGTGATCTTGCGGTGTCTGCTGTAAGGTACCGTCCCCATCGTAGCCGCTATCACTTGTAACATTGGAAGCCGGAGGTGTTTTCGCTAAGGAAGCGAGAGCTTCGTTTAGGCTGTTAGTTAGATCCTGCACAGTTGCTGGTGAGAAGATTTCTGCATTTGGCGATACAGAGTACGAGAATGGCGCTGGACTTCGAGACTTGAGCAGATCGGGCATTCTGCAACAAATTCTTATCAGTTGGGGCAGGGTCGTACGATAAATACGTAGCAAAGGTGAGAAGTCAACAGTGACACGTTTACGGCTACTGATAAGCAAACAACAAATAACAGCTTCTGTGCATCCATTATCCACTAAGTCGGAAACGATTCAAGAGCATGCAAAGGAAGGGGCAGTAGGTTATTCCCACACGTGATTTTGGTCTCTTTGAAGTTTCAGAGTCACTCAATTATCAGGCTAAACTGGGGGTTCACCCAAAATCCTGTTAATGTATAGCACAAAAACTTATCGTCTGTTTACATGAAATCATCAAAACGCGTCGAGTATCCCCGAATCAATTAAATCGTCATTGGACATACATATTGAAGGAATTGAACCTCTCATGATGTTTTGTAGGGCTTAGAATTCTACTGAGATAATTCCAATCGATTTATTACTGCAATGACGGCCTCTTAAAAACAGTCTCGTCGTCATTACCAAAGCAGTAGTGAAGTTCTAATGATATCTCATTTGAAAAGGTCTTGGAAACCTTCCAAAAGATAGTGGTCAGCCTGAGAGTTATGCACAAATGGACATTTCGAAAGGTTCCAATTAGTTATTCAGAGCAAATTTGGATCAAATCATTAAAAAAACGAGTTTTGGAACCCTTTTTCCAAATGATGGCTGCTAAGAGTACTCAGAACTACTCTCTAACGCCTTTTCGGGTCACGATGGGAATTGGGGCACTATGCTATTAGGTTGGAAGATAAGTCTTGCAACACCTCGGAAAAGTTTTGAATTTTATGTTTGTTAATTTTATTAATATTTATTTTGTAATTCCGTAATTTAACATTTTTTGTTAATATTTATATTTTATTAATTTTACAATCAAAAAGGGGTTCGGTTCTTACTGAGTTGAGATAACGCCGAGAGTTGTACAGTGATTTCTGAAGAGCGACCGTTTCCCGACCCTTCCCTTTAAGACAGATATTTGCCATGTTACTATAAAGCTCAGGCTCGTATGGCTCTTGAGATTTTGAAACTTCCTCGTTTAAGCTGTCCTACTAGCCCATCAATAGCAATTTGGTGCTCCCATCAGTGATTTCTTGAGTCCCTGGGTGTTCTGATGAGGAATTCGTAATCAACTAAGGCAACAGCTCACGAAAAAATCCGCTAGTCACTTTCCCTATCGGAGCAGATTTGCATGTGGTTTTCTCAGTATCACTGGTGGTACCATGCCATTAGCAGCGTCAGCAACACCAACCGAGGGGCTTCATTAGTTCCGAAGTATTTGCCAGCACTACAGTCTTCACGGGCTTTCTAACAACTAAGCCATCGCCCTAACCCTTTACTATTTCTCGAGCGGCCACATGAAACTATGTTGTACCTTTCAGGAATCTTATTAGAATTTTCTGGAAAGATTGTTACTGTACAGTTGGCTATGAAACCAGTACTAGCAAGAGTAAGGTTCGGAGGTTCTACCTGCTGCTATCGTTGCTACAAAGACACCTAGACTATCCAAGGGGAAGGCTGCATCAGGGATAACCCGTGCATTAGTGGTTTCTAAAATGACAATGCCGTAAAAACTCAAAGGGAGATTCAACGGCCTTGAATGAACACACGCAAACGAATAAAGGGTCCCTTTGAAGGAAAGTTTCTTGAAGTGTCCATAAAGCCAGTAGAGCAGTGATAAAATAATGTAAAGACATATCAGGTAGGCTTTTTTGGTTTTTTTCGGACATGTTCGATGGCTGCTGTTGCACTTCTCATTCAATTGCTATTCAGCGCGTAGTTGTGAAATATTCGACGGACGAATTGCATAAGTAGTCTCCTGAGATCTTTCAGCTGCGCTCCGTTCAAAAGCCAAAGTGAAAAAAGCAGTCACAGCCTCCACACAATTGCTTTGCGCTTTTTTGTTGCCAATGGGGATTCCATTGTTATCTCAGCGCTTCCAGCATTACTACGAGACGTTTGAGAGCTTTCGATCGCACATAAACATTTTATTTCCTCTGGCTCACATTACGACATTGTTTGCAGTCAATCAGGATCACAAGCTGAGTTTTTTCGCTATGAAATCTCAGTTAAGTCTTGAATTTATTGGCATAACTCAAGGCGTATACGAAGTCGCTGGGAATTGAAAGAACTATTGGGAGCCCATGAGTAACAAGGACGGGGAGATTCCTCTCACCGACTAGAGTAAGTACGTAACTCCTGGACGAGCAGTCTAGTTCGCCTTACCCCGTGTGTGTAAGCCCTATAAAACCCCATTGCATATTACAGTTACACAAGATACGTATTCGAAGTTGAATACAACGAAAAAGTAGGGAAGAGTATGAGAAGTCCTCAGAAATTACTATTATAACTATTATTATCTATGAGCACAGGGGAATTAATTAGGTTATATTTCTGAATAACTGTTCGATTTTTTGTGAAAATCGAAATTCTCGGCTACAGACGAAGTAAGTTAATGTCGACAAAAGCTTGCATAAAGAAATTACCTATTTTCTGGAAGACCGTTTTGACGATCATCCTTCATAGAGGTGGACGATTTAAGCGCTTCAGTCATTTGCCGGTCATTATCAACAGAGGCAGCACCCGTTTGGAAGACTGTATCGAAGCTCTTTTCAGTAAATAGAGCACTTCGCGGGGGATTCGTTGTGGGTAGTTCCTGAGTGGGCAGGGAAGGTTGAGCATTTTTCGACGCTTCACCCACTTCCGCTAACTGATTGCGTTCCTCGCTCAATGCCACGTTCGGCAGCTTTTGCTGCTGTTCTGATTGCTGTGGCACTTCGTTTTGAACAAATTCGTGGCTTTCCGTCGGAGAACCCTCTCTGGCGAGTCGATTGATGAAGGAGTTTCGTTTAGAATACTTTGGTTTCGGCATGGGAGAAGGGGGTTTGGTGTCTAGCGTTGGAGTAGGAGCTGGCACCACAGAATGATTCTGGAGTAGACTTGTCGGCATCACCTGAAGAAAATAATCAGAGTAAATACTCGACTTCACAGACTTCTTTACTTACTCCCTGATAGAACTTCTCTGGGGAGAGGACTGGTGGGCCATCCAGAACGCGGCCCAGATATGGCTTTTTGTTCTCGACGTCGGCACCCTCATGAACTTTGACGAAATTGTGTGGGAATTGCCGCGAAGGTACAGGAGAGGCAGCTGCTGGAATAAAATAATAAGCACTGCAAAAATTATTCCCGGAGTTCGTTTGCGACTGATGCGCTTTCGCCGTGGGAATATCCCATATGGTAACTGGGAGGAGAAAGAAGCTTAAATTTACCTATCGTTATGAAGCCTAACCGACCGGAGTGGTCTCGGAGAATCAAAAGTGCCATCTGTTTCTAGAATCGGAAATAGACTGGACTTTGCGGTTCTCAGAAGCAAAAAAGGTATTCCCACAAAATGAATGTCACGTCTCGGCCAAGAAATTCATAGGCGTACAAGCATGAAAGGTCCCAATACAACTGCCCACTTGAAAATATTGATTCCTTCCCCTTGGTTTATACTTCCCACAACCAGTTCACAACCATAGGAGACATCTTGAAGCTAT